CATACATAGTACATAATTGCACTTACTTGTGCTGTTACATTTACCTCCCCATTTTTGGAGGACGGGCTGAATTACATAGACATTACAACACGTCCGAACGAAATGTCTTGAAGGTATTTTCAGTATTTCTGTAATAAGGATTTGTTAAAATGTAAACAAACCTCTATAGAGGTTTGATTTTCTTTTTTTTTTAGATTTTAGATTTTTTTTAATTATATATAATAAAATTTTCAACGTTAAACATTAGACTGAGCAAATGTATGTATGTATATATGTATATTATATATATATATATATATATATATATATATATATATATATATATATATATATATATATATATATATATATAATATTATCAATAGAGATGAAGGTCCCATGAACACTTGGCAATGTTCCGTTGTGAGACATTTTTAACTACTTCCTGAGTTACTGAGAAATAGATTTGGCCGCAAAAACAGATAATGTGATTGTAACTCTTACCATCCTCATTGTATGGCCGTAAAAACCAGTTACACAATGTAAGCCGTAATATCAAGTGTGTTGTTATACCCGGGGGTTTAGTGACGAGCGGTTATGCATTGCATTAGGCTTTACTGATGCAATGGCTGTTACATGTGAATGTATAAGAGATTAAAGAGCTTGTAAGAGCCAAGGAGTTCCTTGTCATAAGGCGTTGGTGTAGCGTGTATAAAAGCCGGTGGTGGAGTTAGTGTCTGGTCTTACTAAATGTTTACTAAAAAAGCATGTTTGAAAGGTCGACACACGGCTCGCGTTCCTCTTGTGTCTGTACTGGTTTTTGCACGTTAGGGCTGTTAGGGGCGACTTTTTTCTGAAGCCGATTCTGTTTAGTTCGCTCTTGTTGTATTTTCTGTTGCTCTGCTGTTGTTGTATTTTCTGTTATTCTGCTGTTTGTGGTATTGTTGGACGTTGGCCATCGCTCACTTTGATGCCTGTGTCCTGAAGCAGACGGTAAAGGGAGTTTGTTGCTAGCGTTCTTAAAATAAAATCAACATGGAGGGAATAGTGTGGGAGGGAGCAAGCTCTTGCCGCCGGCTCCAGGGATGGTTTGACAACAGTGTACCAGAGTTATAGTTCAACTTTTACCTCTGGCTCGTGACTATTTTGGCCGTAGTTCGAGAACGCGGGCCTCGCGGCTAACGAGTTTGAGCCTGTAAATGCATTTTTTATTTACTCTTTTTTTTTATTAAACTGGAAAAAATAATGAAATTATATACATATTTGGATATGTATATATATGGAATTAGAAATGTGTGATTTACACGTTATGATTATATATGTTTTACCTGGTTGATACCTGGTTGATGGGGTTCTGAGAGTTCTTCTACTCCCCAAGCCCGGCCCGAGGCCAGGCTTGACTTGTGAGAGTTTGGTCCACCAGGCTGTTGCTTGGAGCGGCCCGCAGGCCCACATACCCACCACAGCCTGGTTGGTCCGGCACTCCTAGAAGGAAACAATCTAGTTTCCTCTTGAAGATGTCCACGGTTGTTCCTGTAATATTTCTGATGCTCGCTGGGAGGACGTTGAACAACCGTGGACCTCTGATGTTCATACAGTGTTCTCTGCCTCTGCCTCACAGACCAAGCAATTGCTTTAGGCTCCACAGCAGGTTAGGGTGTGGGAGTAGAATTCTTGAAGTCAACAGGAAATAAACAATTTAGTAAAGGAAGTCGAAAGTTAATGTAATTGTCTATCATTGTTTTGAAATAGTAATTGTATATTTATCCCCCCCTTCCCCAACCACTTGGGCTGGACGGTAGAGCGACGGTCTCGCTTCATGCAGGTCGGCGTTCAATCCCCGACCGTCCAAGTGGTTGGGGCACCATTCCTTCCCCCCGTCCCATCCCAAATCCTTATCCTGACCCCTTCCCAGTGCTATATAGTCGTAATGGCTTGGCGCTTTCCCTTGATAATTCCTTCCTTCCTTATCCCCCCCCCCCCGCCTAAAGTTTCCTTGCGATATCTTATGGATACTTATTAGTATATTCTACAGTTTATAATCTGTATGGATATGGATGTTAGTTTTTTGTTGAAATTGAGCACTATAGCTCACGATAATCGACTTTTCAACAAATTTACTTTTAAATGTAGATTTTTGGGAATGCGCCCGCACACTGTGGTCCAGAGGAATTATCTAACTTAAGTCTAGACTCTAGATAGTCTGGTATAATCATAGTAGTTTTCGCTTGCTTTAAGCGAAAGCAACTTTTTAATTTAAGTTCTAGCAGTAAAATAGGTACCTGGGTGTTAGGCAGCTGTCACGGGCTGCTTCTTCCTGGGGGTGGAGGCCTGGTCGAGGACCGGGCCGCAGGGACACTAAAAAAAAAGCCCCGAAATCATCTCTAGATAACCTCTAGATATGACAGTGAAAGCCCCGAAATCATCTCTAGATAACCTCTAGATATGACAGTGTTTCACAATACTTGCCGGCTAATATTTTGTTTTTATGTTGAAGCTTAACAGTTACGCATGATAATATAAATGTTTACAATTAATTACAATTAACAATTACAATTAACTCCCAATTATCCTGGAAACAAATTTAAAGAAAAAGGCCTTTTAAATGGCTTTGTTATATCTAGTGTGCACAGTTTTAAGAATATTTTAAGTGTTATTGTGCACTAAAATGCATGAGTGCACCATTTTGTTTTGAAATAGGTGGGGTCAGATTGATTGATTGATGATTGATTGATGAAGATTAAGCCACCCAAGAGGTGGCACGGGCATGAATAGCCCGTAAGTGGTGGCCCTTTTGAGCCATTACCAGTATCAAGAGCTGATACTGGAGATCTGTGGAGGTGCGACTGCACCCTGCGTGACGGGAGATGTCTCCCGTGTGGGGTCAGAAAGCCTATTCCACTTATCTAGGTCACCCCCTCCCCACCCCCAGGATAGCTACTGACCTCCAGGATGCAACCCACAACAGCTGCCTAGCTCTAGGGTACCTATTTACGGCTAGGTGAACAGGTGCATCAGATGTAGGGAAACTACCCAGATGCTTTTGTCCTGCTCCCGGGAATTAAACAAGTGATCTTTGCGGGTGTGGTTAGATTGAGAGTACACCTGGGGCCAGATTCACGAAGCAGTTACGCAAGCACTTGCGAGCCTGTATATCTTCTCAATCTTTGGCGGCTTTGTTTACAATTATTCAACAATTAATGAGCTCCGAAGCACCAGGAGGCTGTTTATAACAATAACAACAGTTGAATGGGAAGTTTTCATGCTTGTAAACTGTTTAATAAATGTAAACAAAGCCGTCAAAGGTTGAGGAAAGATGTACACGTTCGTAAATGCTTGCGTAACTGCTTCGTGAATCTGGCCCCTGGGCATATTATTAGTTTATAAAATAAACAAATGACTGTCTTGCGCTACAGAATGTTTGTTATAGATCGATTTAACATTCCATAGAAGAAACTTCTTGAGTGGCACCCTTGCGGGAGCGTTAAAAGTTTGAAATCCATTTATCAAGCTGAACTTGGACAGGATTGAGAGAGAACGTGAGTTATTGCTGTAAAGAAGGGGGTACCAAACAAAATGTGCGCCCCCCTGGAAAATATGTTGAGGTATATTGACATATCGAATAGCTGAAGCCAGGTGTGTTCTCCATTATTATTATTGTTTGATATAAACACATGTTGACCAAACCACACACTAGAAGGTGAAGGGACGACGACGTTTCGGTCCGTCCTGGACCATTCTCAAGTCGATTGTGTGAGAAATCGACTTGAAAATGGTCCAGGACGGACCGAAACGTCGTTGTCCCTTCACTTTCTAGTGGGTTGTTTGGTCAACATATTTCAGCCCCGTTATCGTGACTCCTCGACTGCATTTAAACGCATGTTAGTGCGTGCACCTAAATGCACTCTCCTAAATGTGCTTGCAAGGTAGACAGCTCTAGTTCCCGAGCCTCGCGTTAGCAGATGTCGATTGTATAGTTATTGCTCCTCGTACCTTGGAGTTACCTTGGAGTATTTCCGGGGCATAGCGTCCCCGCGGCCCGGTCGTCGACCAGGCCTCCTCGTTGCTGGACTGGTCAACCAGGCTGTTGGACGCGGCTGCTCGCATATAACGTCCTCGTGCTTCATAACGCACCTGATTTATTATACTTGGCTTCTACCTTTTCTTAATTAACTCGTTCTGTCTGTTCATTGTTCTTTCGCTAAAGAGCTCCTTAACGTTCTTGTGACTAGCCTGTGCTTTGGTTTTACACCCATTACTTGTTCCATTATTCCCCAACCACTTGGACTGGACGGTAGAGCGACGGTCTCGCTTCCTGCAGGTCGGCGTTCTATCCCCGACCGTCCAAGTAGTTGGGCACCATTCCTTCCCAACCCTCCTCGTCCCATCCCAAATCCTTATCCTGATCCCTTCCCAGTGCTATTTAGTCATCATGGCTTGGCGCTTTCACTTGATAAATTCCCTTTCTGAACCAAACTCAGAACTCTGCATTAATCTGGAGCAGCATAGTTCATAGGGAGGCCTGGTCGAGGACCGGGCCGCGGGGACACTAAAGCCCCGAAATCATCTCAAGATAACCTCATCTCAAGAAGATTCACCCTCTGCTTGTATTTGTTTACCTTGTGCATTGAAGACAATCATGTATGTCCTGTTGATGTTATAGATTCAGCTACTCTGAACAAGTTCCAAGTAGCACGGGCTATGGTGAGCCCGTAGTGAACTTACCTGGCACAGGAGCGGTGACGTATGCCCATAACACATTCTGTTTAGTAGGGAGCCGGTCGGCCGAGCGGACAGAACGCTGAACTTGTGATCCTGTGGTCCCGGGTTTGATCCCGGGCGCCGGGGAGAAACAATGGGCAGAGTTTCTTTCACCCTAAGCCCCTGTTACCTAGCAGTAAAATAGGTACCTGGGTGTTAGTCAGCTGTCACGGGCTGCTTCCTGGGGGTGGAGGCCTGGTCGAGGACCGGGCCGCGGGGACACTAAAAAAGCCCCGAAATCATCTCAAGATAACCTCAAGATAAGATAGTATCTGCAAGTGTTGCCAAGTTCAACTTCAGCAATTGGGAACTAACTGGTGGGGGGGGGAGGTTAATTTTTATTGCAGCACTAATTTTATTAATTTTTTTTATTTACAGAAACATCGTCTACAATATCAGTGTCCACAACTTGGAGGAGAACTTCAGTCAAGTAAGTTTACAAGAATAATTTCTTGTTTTATGTGATACGATTTTCTACCACTAAATTGTGTTCTTCGACGTTGATGAGTTATTAGTTCATGGTGGTTGTTGGTGTAATTGTGATACACGACTTGATACATGGATATATCTGAACAAATCCACAAGGGCCGTGACGAGGATTCGAACCTGCGTCCGGGAGCAACGAATCAAATCCACGTCACGGCCCTTGTGGATTTGTTCATTTGATGCATCACGTTAGTGTGATCTCTGTGTGTAATGGATATATCTCTCACGAGTTCTGTCATAATCGGTTTAATGACACGAAGAATAAATGGAAATTTCAGAAGGCCTACTGGCCCATACGGGGCACCTCCCGTCATGTGTATTCACCTAGTGTGTGTGTATATATATATATTCATATGTGAGTTAGGAGATGTGAGGTGTGAGTTTTCAGTTGCATATAGTCCTGGGGACCATTCAGGCTTGTTCACATATTCATATCGGTGTGTGTGTGTGTGTGTGTGTGTGTGTGTGTGTGTGTGTGTGTGTGTGTGTGTGTGTGTGTATATATATTCATGTGTGTGTAAAAAAAAAATACTTGTATATATTATAGTGTGTGCGAAGGAAGATGCCTCGTATGGGCCAGTAGGCCTTCTGCCGTTTTCTTTCTGTTTGGTGTTATTAGGTAAATCTGAGGTTGCATCATCCCGGCGGTGTTGTCATACCATTACCCAAGTCTCCTGAAGCCCGGCCATATAACAAATCCGCGGGGCGAGTGTGCTGGTATCGGCAGGCGGGTCCATTTCATTATTTCTGGAGGTGTGATAGAGCCTTGTTGATGAGGAGCCGACGTCTCCCAGGCAGCCAATGGCAGTCCGCGAGCGCCGCCGCGGTCTCCTACCCCCCAGAATCTCGCTCGCGGAAGGAAAATTCTATGTGATTATGTGATTAATAATAGCGGGGCTTGCAAAAAGCGCCTAATGGGGTATGAATTATACAGATTAAGGTGGCGTCTGCTGTGATGGGTCCGGTGATCTCCTGGCCCTGACGGTACGTTAAGTAGCCCTGCGAGATGGTATCACCGGAGGGGTTTGACGCAAATGGCCTTCAAAGGCTATCTTTGCAAGACATTGCTTGCAGATTAATAAATTGCTTGAAAATAGATTACAAAATAATAGGGGTTTCATGCTCATTTATCTTGGCGCATAGTTGAATTTGGCATTAAATGCTATATGACTGTAAGCAAAGAATTCCTAAATTATTCTACCTAGGAAATAGTTTTTTCCTAACCCCAAATAACCACAAATATTCTAGCCTCCAAACTCTGTGAATGTCCAAACCATAACTTTTAAGGAATGTTCTGGGGCATTTTACCTAAAACATTCCTTAGGGCACTCGCAGAAATCACAATAGCATGATGCATCAATGAACACATCCACAAGGGCCGTGACGAGGCTTCGAACCTTCGTCCGAGATCATACTGCCTTAATTTAGGGGCAGGATCGATTAAGGCAGCGTCTGGGATGATTTCGGACGTAGGTTCGAAGCCTCGTCACGGCAATTGTGGATCTGTTCATTCCTTAGGCTATCCTACGAACCTCAACACTGCCATGGTGGGAATGCCATGGTGGGAATGCCATGGTGGGAATCATTGAGCAGTCTGTTAAGGCTCGGGGATGATCTCAGTGGTCATAACATCCTGGCGCAGGAGGGGCGCGGGGCTAGCCTCATGTCGTGGGCTTAACTGCTGGCCTGACGCATGGCTTCCTCCCTCCTCCACCATGAGGGTCGTCACATAACTCTCCATGACGAGTTTGGTCGTATTTAGTAATAGTCTTCCTGTGCAGGCGATGAGTCACAATAACGTGGCTGAAGTATGTTGACCAGACCACACACTAGAAATTGAAGGGACGACGACGTTTCGGTCCGTCCTGGACCATTCGCAAGTCGATGAGTTAATAGTCTTCCTGTTAGGGCCTGTATGGGTTTGATGATGAGGGGCGAGGCTCTCCTCCCCCATTCCTCGCTCTTTCTGGTAAATATCTGGCAGTAAAAAAAAAAAATATAGCCATTTTTGGCTGAACTTTGGTTAACTAATTTGTGTTTGAAGTTCTTAATTTTTTTTATTCTTTGCAGAGAATCGTGTGGTACTCCAAAGAACAGGACAGTTCCATGTGCTTCGACAAGGGGAAGTCAGTGGTAAGTTGAGAATTAATTTTGTAACTAAATATAATTGAATGCTCCCATGTTTTTAAGTATATATTAGGGAGCCGGTCGGCCGAGCGGACAGCACGCTGGACTTGTGATCCTGTGGTCCTGGGTTCAATCCCAGGCGCCGGCGAGAAACAATGGGCAGAGTTTCTTTCACCCTATGCCCCTGTTACCTAGCAGTAAAATAGGTACCTGGGTGTTAGTCATCTGTCACGGGCTGCTTCCTGGGTGGTGGAGGTCTGGTCGAGGACCGGGCCGCGGGGACACTAAAAGCCCCGAAATCATCTCAAGATAACCTCAAGATAACCTCAAGATATACATAACTGGCATCCCTTAATCCACATTTACGTAATTGGCCCTGCCTCTTCCTCCCCTCTTGTCTTAAGTTTTGACCGTCTTTTAGTAGCTTCAGGCGTCATATGTCCTAAACTGGCCTCTTGACCAGGCCTCTTGACCAGGCCTCTTGACCAGGCCTCTTGACCAGGCCTCTTGACCAGGCCTCTTGACCAGGCCTCTTGACCAGGCCTCTTGACCAGGCCTCTTGACCAGGCCTCTGGTTGGTGAACAGATAAACTGAAACTACACTTAGAACTTGAAGCTTTCATTCAGTGTGACTTTGGGTATCGGAGCGATACCCAAAGCGATAATATGTACACGATTGATGGATGAAGATTAAGCCACCCGAAAGGTGGCACGGGCATGAATAGCCTGCAAGTGGTGGCCCTTTTGAGCCATTACCAGTATCAATAGCTGATACTGGAGATCTGTGGAGGTGCGACTGCACCCTGCGTGACGGGAGATGTCTCCCGTGTATGTACACGTTTATGTGTAGATAGGTGAATTCAGGCCCCAATCATGTTGCTTAAACGATAGTAATGTGTGTAGCCAGCAATACTTGGCTCGTCAGGGTCGTTTAATCCCAATTGGAGGTTGTGGATAGTTTTTAATTTAAAAAACTAATGTGGATAGTTTTTAATTTAAAAAACTAATGTGGATAGTTTTTAATTGAAGATTACAGCAGTTGATAGTAGATAATTGCTTTCTCGCAGTGCAGGTCTCCTTGGTGTTAGTTCCAGGGATCAATGTCCCCAAGACCCGGTCTCCTGTGAGTGTCTTCGACGCGTTGAGGAAGTGCAAAATAGCCAGTGATAAGTTGGGGGGGGGGGGGTTACCAGAAACACAATTAGAGAAGACCTGTGTCTTCGAACCTGCGTCCGGGATGCTCCCGGACGCAGGTTCGAATCCTCGTCACGGCCCTTGTTGATTTATTCATTTGATGCATCACGCTAGTGTGATCTGTGTGTAATCACAATTAGAGAATAGTGTGAACATCAGAGATCAAGAATTCGCATATAGAAATAGGTTTTCAAGAGAACTGAAGCTACTGGATTGTCTGTGCCATAGACACAGAGAACATTGCATGAACATCAAGAGGTCTACGGTTGTTCAGCATCCTCGCAGAAAGTACAAGAAATATTGCCCGAACAAAAGTGGAAGTCTTCAAGGACAAACTGGACACTTGCCTGCATGGAGTGTCGGACCAACCGGGCTGTAGTGGATATGTGGGCCTGCGGGCCTGTCGAAGCAGCAACCTGTTGAAGTCAGGCTTGCCTTAGGGCCGGGCTTAGGGAGTAGAAGAACTCTCAGAACCTCATGCAGGTACAAACCAGGCTGTGATATGGCTATGTGAGCCTTCGTTCAACGAAGACCAGGAGGCCTGGTCGACGACCCGGCCGCGGGGACGCTAAGCCCCGGAAGCACCTCAAGGTAACCTCAAGGTAAGGTAAGACTGTGTCAGTCTGTTAGACAGTCTACAAGGGTACTAGCCACAGGCGAGGCTGCTGGAACAGAACTCTTGAAACCAACAGACAATAATCACATTCCTTATATTCCTTAAGGAGGAAGGCCTTAAAGGTGGGAGCGAAAATGAGGTAGGAAAATGGAGGAGAATGAAGACGATGGGAGGAGAGGAAGGGCCGTGGGTGGTAAGGATGATCCGAGAAAGATCGGATCCGATCCGATCTGAATCCGACTCGATCCGGAAGATGACCCGACACATCGAGACGGTGTCGATAAATACATTTTCTTCCGCAATAAACATTCTTGTTTTTGTTGTTGTTATAGATTCAGCTACTCGGAACAAGTTCCAAGTAGCACGGGCTATGGTGAGCCCGTAGTGGACTTACCTGGCACAAGAACGGTGCGACGAACAACGGTGCAAACATTCTTCTTTTGTCTCTGTTATCAGTATGGCCTCTGGTGTCATGCAGGTTCGCGGCACCTCTACTCGCCCAAGTTATCGCACTAGGTTCTGTACTCGGGGAAGTTACCGCGACCACCCAGCTATGACAGTCTGGGGGCATGTGGCTGGCGTGTCTAACTCGAGTCAAGTCAAAATAAAACGCATGCTTGCCAGCGTGGTAATGACACAGTGCCCCCTGGAACACACACAAGTAGGGTGTTGGCTCATGGTGAATTGGTTCATATTAGTCAACACTTGCCTAATGCTTTAGATATTTCTTCCCTGCTCATGTTTGGTAGACACGATAGAGGGGTGGCGGGGGGGATGGGGGGTGTTGTCAACAGACAGCCGGGCGAGGATACCTGATCAACCAGGCTGTGACTCATACGTCAGGCTGCGAGCAGCCGCGTCTAACAGCCTGGTTGATCAGTCCAGCAACCAGGAGGCCTGGTCGACGACCGGGCCGCGGGGACACTAAGCCCCGGAAGCACCTCAAGGTAACCTCAAGGAGGTCATGTTGGGGGTAAAGTTATGTGCTAAATTGCCCGAGGTCTGGTCAGAGACCGGACCGTGGAGACGTTGATCCTCGGAATCACCACAAGGTAGGTATGTGTAGCTCGAACAGAGACGAGCGACATTACGCATAGGAAACATGGTTGTTTGTGAGCCGCTATGATTTATAGTACATCATATTTTGACCGTTGGATTTGTTTTTAGATTTAGCTACTTAGAATGAAATGTCCATGTAGCACGGGCTATGGCGAGCCCGTAATGTGTGTCCGTTGGAGATTTTTGACGTTAAAATGTAATATGTAGTTAGAGAGGAGCAGATGTAGTTTTTACGCTACTTGATAAGGATCCAAGGACGGACCGAAACGTCACTTTCAAACCATGTGTGTGTGGGGGGGGGGGAGAAGGAGGGAGGGGGGGTGTTATTTTATCTACGTTAATTATATTGGCTGTCGTTTCCTCCGTATGATCAAAATCCCGTAATTAATTAAAGATTATGTTGAAAACTAGATTGTGTTCTTTAAAGAAGTGACGCACCATCAGGGGTGTAGTAGGCCTGCGGGCCGCTCAAAGCAAATCTGTTGGACCAAGCTCTCCCAAGTCGAGCCTGGGCCCCGGGCCGGGCTTGGAGAGTAGAACAACTCGCATAACCCCATCCAGGTACAATCCAGGTACATGTTGAGTATAAGGAACGCTCAGGATGCTAAAGAAGCATTTACGTCTCAAGGTAATCTAATATCTTTTGTAACGCTGTAACTCCTGCACATTACACAAGTCACGACATGTCATAGTGGCAGAACAGACTATGACAAGTCTGAACAAGTATGAACAGAACAGCGGTCAGCGGAACTGACCGCTGCACATTAGCAGCGGTCAGGTCGATAAGCTGTTAACATTTACGATAATTGTTCACGGAACGAACAAATGAACATATACAGTGGTCATAACAGTTCAGTGATGAACTGAACTCAACCTTTCTCAATATGGCTAGTTATCTTGATTTCGGGGCTTTAGTGTCCCCGCGGCCCGGTCCTCGACCAGGCCTCCACCCCCAGGAAGCAGCCCGTGACAGTTGACTAACACCCAGGTACCTATTTACTGCTAGGTAACAGGGGCATAGCAACTGTGCCCATTGTTTCTCGCCGACGCCCGGGATCGAACCCGAGACCACAGAATCACAAGTCCAGCGTGCTGTCCGCTCGGCCGACCGGCATGCAAACATGTTCGTGGATTATTAGCATATCTTAGCAAGAATAAGGCGGTGGATTAAGTAGTTGCATAGCTGCAAGGAGCTCATTCCGACAGGTTTATATGGCTTAATGACTTCAGTTATTTAGTGAGATCATGCCTAGTTCCAGCTAGCGGAATTAACATTGTAAGAAACATTAAGGCAGCGTCTGGGATCCTCTCGGATGTAGGTTCGAATCCTCGTCACGGCCCTTGTGGATTTGAACATTGTAAAGGCTTAGAGTTGAGAGAGATCACCTGCGATCACCCACCACAGGAATTAGTAGGTGGCTTATCCTGGAAATTAATGTATTATAAAATATTGTATTTTGGTGTGGAGATAAAAAGCTAATAAACCTTAACAAATGCATGGAGGGAGGGAGTTACCAGGGAGGAAAGCGCCAAGCCATTGAGACTATATAGCACTGGGAAGGGGTCAGGATAAGGATTTGGGATGGGACGGGGGGAAGGAATGGTGCCAAACCATTTGGACGGTCGGGGATTGAACGCCGACCTGCATGAAGCGAGACCGTCGCTCTACCGTCGTCGCTCGAGAGGGGTTGAGGGAGAGGGACGGAGAGAGAGACTGACGGACAGAGGGCGAGTTAGGGAGGGTGGGCTACCAGCCCACAGACGCGGCAGTTTCCCAAACTGTTACTTAAAGGTTTAAGAACCATTTTTGTACACATTAGTCACAACCAGGAGCCAGATTCACGAAGCAGTTACGCAATCACTTACGAACGTGTACATCTTTCCTCAATCTTTGACGGCTTTGGTTACATTTATTAAACAGTTTACAAGCATGAAAACTTCCCAATCAACTGTTGTTATTGTTATAAACTGCCTCCTGGTGCTTCCGAGCTCATTAACTGTTTAATAATTGTAAACGTAGCCGCCAAAGATTGAGAAAAGATGCACAGGTTCGTAAGTGCTTGCGTAACTGCTTCGTGAATCTAGCCCCAGAACACTGGACATTAATATGGAATTCTAGTCAAAGCTTTTAAAACTG